CATCAGAGAGCTTCACAGTCTAAGAATGAAAGGCAAAACAGACAAAAGTGAAATAATTAGAGAATGAATATTTGCTTTAGAAGTTCAGAGAAGAGAACGAGTCGAATATTCAAGACAGTGTTGAATGAAGGGAAAGAGACTTGATATGGGACTTTGAAAGTGAGACAGGGCCAGCCAAGGGACATGAAAAGTTGTGAGATGAGAATGAGTAGGTGTGTTTCTGGCACAGCAAGTAGACCAGCCTGATTTGACATGTGTCTCCATTCCAAATATATTACGTATCTATCCGCTTCTATCCCTTTCCTTTGCTAGCACCCTGGGCCGGTTCCTTCTTAACTCTCAGGCAGATTACTACAATAGCTGTGATTTTTCTCCTTACTATGCCCTGTCTACAATTCATTGAGCTGACACAAGAATCTCTTATTCTTTTTTTCATTTAAAACCAGATCATTACGAGCCTTTTGCTCAATTCCCTGCAAATATCTTCCCAATGCACTGAGAATAAACCTCAAATGTCTTACCATGGATTTCAATGATCTGGACCCTAAATGATCTGGACCCCACTTACCTGCTTCATCTTTTCTTCTAACATTCTAACCCTTGCTCATCCAACTTCACTGCTCTTTGTGTTCCTGAAATCAGGATGGAAGAGAAATGAAGAGTAATGACAATATTTGCTTAGCACCAGACAGCTGTGTTCTTCGTTCACTTGTTACAAAAAGCTTCTTTGCAGGGTATGATGCCCATTTTTAATCTGAATTCCAGAAAGCGTAAGATCACAGATCATGAGATTATCAGAGTTGTAACTCAAACTCATGGTCTTTTGACCAACATTCTGAGGTGGTAGAGGACAATATTTATAATTAATGATATATGAAACATGATGAGAGAGATGAGTGAAAGTTAATTTCAAATGTTAAAGCCTAGATCAATAAGGAAATGATAGTGTCATGAAATTGGTAGCTGCAAAGCCTTGGAATATTAAAAGGACATTTAGCCCAGTTGGGCCCCCCTTGGAGGCTGTGCCAGGACTATGGCATTGCAACACCGCCATGTGAATTTGGATGAGTCACTTCAGTTTTGCAAGTCTCAGTCTGAAAGAGAGGGAGAAAACTTTTGTGATCTTGAGTTAAGCAATAATTTCTGGGAAACAACAAACCCTATAAGTATGATCTATGAGATAATAAAATTGAAAATTGGACTTCATCAAAAAAAGTTAAGAATTTCAGCTTTTCAAAAGATACTGTTAAAAGAATGAATAAACAGGATACAGACTGGGAGAAAATATTTGCAAATCACATCATTGATAAAGAACTCATATCCGGAGTATATAAAGAACTCTTAAAACTCAATAGTAAGAAAGCAAACCCAGTTGTTTTTTTTTAATGGGCAAAAGATTTGAACAGAAACTTCACCAAAGAAGATATACAGATCACCAATAAGCATATGAAAAGATGCTTAACATCATTAGTCAGTAGCTGAATGTAAAATAAAACCACAATGAGATACCAAGTATCTCCTATGCCAAGTATTGGCCAAAATGTGGAAGGATTAGAACTCTCATACACATTTGGTGGTACTATAAAATGTCACAACTACTTAAAAACTATTGAGAAATTTCTTAAAATGTTAAATATACATCTATCATATCACCCAACCATTCCACTCCCTACATTTTCATCCAAGATAAATGAATTTCTATGTCGATATAAGACTAACATTAATACATGAATATTCATAACTGCATTAGTTGGAATAGCTATATGCTGGAAAATATCTATCAACACGTAAATGGATAAACAAATGGTGGTATAGTTACATAATGAAATACTGCTTGCAAATAAACAGGAATGAACTACTGATGAATAAATCTTAAAACAATTATGCTAAGTGAAAGAAACCAGATGAAAAGATATGGATAATTTCATTTATTTTTAAAAATCTAAGAACTACAAACTATAGTGACAAAAAGATGATCATGCTTGCCTAAAGATTGGGAAGGGGTCGTGTAAAGGGCAAGAGGTTGGGATTACCAAGGGACATGAGAGAACTTTTAGAACTAATGGACACATTCATTAACTTGAATGTGGTGGTGGTTCCGTGAGTACCTACATATTCAAAACTTAATCAAATTGTACATTTTAAATAACATGGTTTATTGTATCTCAATTATATCTCAATAAAGCTGTTTAAAAAATGGGGAAAAAAGTAACAGAAATCAAGATAGTATGGTATTGGCATAAGGATAGATTAATGGAACAGAATTGAGAGTCAGAAAACAGAACTACATTTGTATGGTCAATTGATTTTCAACAAAGGTGTCAAAAAAATCAATGAGGAAAAGATCATCTTCTCAATAAACTGTGCTAGACTAACTGAATATCCATATAGGAAAAAATTACCCATGACACCCTACTGAAAAATTAATTCAAATTGGATTATTGACCTTATTATATAAGATCTAAAACCATAAAACTGATAAAAAAAAATCCTAGGGAAAAATAATTGCAATCTAAGTTTAGAAAGTATTCTTTATAGGACACAAAAAGTATGAACCAATAAATTAAAAAATTGGTAAATTATAATTTATTAAAATTAAAAATCTTTATCAAAAGATATCTTTGAGAAAATGAAAAGGCAAGCCACAGGATGTGAGAAAATATCTGTAGAACATATATCTGACAAAAGACATGCATCCGGAATACATGAAGACCTTTGAAAAATCAATAATAGGGAAGACAAACTACCCAGTATTTTTTTTTTAATGGAGGATTTCCAGTATTGGTCAAGACAGAGTAGCCCCATTTCTTCCAAATACTCCCTCCCACATCTGGAAAGCCTGGACACGACGCAACAAACAAACACTGAGAGATTCTGAAAGATGGAAAGAAGAGACAGACTGTGTCCAGGGACCTTGGAACCTGAAGAAGGACAAAAATGAGTTTCCTGGTTTTCTTTTTGTTACCAGCTGAGCAGTGGAGAAGCCTGATACCTTAGAATCGTCAACAGCAGGCACAGACAGGGATGAGAGAGCCCAGCTGTGGCAGGGAACAGGAAGCTCCAAGCAAAGCCTTGCTCCCTTTAGCCAAAGGACTAGGAAAAGTTGGTCTAACATAGGAGGAAATCCTTTTGACAATATCTGCTCTTCTGCAACCAAACTCTATGAAAAAACTAACCCACCCCCACCCCCACCTCCACAGACTGCTGGCCCCATAGTTTCAGCAGAGCTGAGCAAGAATCTAATACTCTTCACACACACACACCAGCAGACACAGGCAAGGACACTCTGATTCCCAGCTTGAGTAGCATTAGTGGGACCAAGTGAGGAACTTAATCCTCACTTTCTGCCCAGCAGAAACTGGCAGTCCTCTAATTCACCCTCCTGGGTGGTGTCAGCTGGGCCAAGCAGGGAGCACTGTCTCCACCTGCAGCCAGCAAGTGGCGGGGAAAGGCTTCAATTAATTAACAATCTAATTCCATATCCTCTATCCCTCTTTTCCCCTCCCCTCACGTTGTTGTACCCCCCTGTGCAAGGGAGGAAAACATCTAGTTACAATTCAACTCTCCACCTATTCCATTTTTGTATTCACACGTGCAAACACTTCTGGAGAAAAATGCAAAATCATGCTGACTGTGTTCACATTAAGTCCATGACCAGTAAAGTGTCTTCTTACCATTGCCTAGCAAGTATGCAATACGCAGTTCAATCTCCCTCCTTCTCTTTTAGATGACTATTATTAAGCCTTTTCTTTCTTCTCAAACTTTCAATATCCCCTTCCCATAGCCACTTTTACCTGTTGACTTCACTTCTTCACTCACTTAGAAACAAAAGAAGGAAGAAAAGAAGGGAAGGAAGGAATGAAGGAGGGAAGGAAGGAAGAAGGAAGGAAGGAAGGAAGGGAGAGAAGGAAGGAGGGATTAATTAGAAGATGTGGTGGACATGCCATAGGTTTACCTCTACTGGATCACGCTCTTGTATAGACCCATCTCCCAGAGTGTGGGCACAAACTGTGACCTGATTCTAACCAACAGAACGTAGCAAAGATGATGGAACATCACTCCCCTGACTATGTTATATGGCAGAAGTGAAGGGTTTTTGCAGAGGTAAGTAAGGTCCCTAATCAGTTGATTTCAAGTTAATCAAAGGAGAGATTATTATGGATGAGTCTGATCTAATCAGGTGTGCCCTTTAAATTTTAGTGAGAATTTAAGTCTAATAAAACTTAAGTCTGTTAGTGTTTGCACCACTGAAACAATTATTAGAACTCATATATGTAAACTACATATGAAAATGAGTAACTTCTGTGGTATTTAACTTTACCTCAATAATTTTTTTTTAATTAATGTTAAGACCCCTCCTTTGCAATAGGATTCTAATAGCAGAATTTAGACTCAATAAAAGGTTGAAAGGTAGAGTTTACTTTTCCAGAACTTGCAACCCAGACTATTGGGGTAGGTATTTATTTGTGATACTAATCATTGAGAAGAGAAACCAAAGGTTTTATTCAAATGTCACTCATTTCTTTGATTTAATCCCTACTCTAGGTGTAACCCAAGTATTCCTGAGTTTTCTGTGTTTTCCTGTACTTTGAAAACTGGACCATATGAGAATATTCAACTCTTTAACTTCAGTAAGGGTATTTGAATGACTAGATATTGTCTATGTCTTCGTTAGCACAAGAGAGTGGAGCAGTTGCTACAAAGCCTAAAATATTTACTATCAGGCCCTTTACGGAAAAAGTTTAGTGATTTAGATAAAAGAGAGCACACTCTTTCTACATCTATTTTAAACAGAAATGAAACAAAGATAATGAAATTGATACGACGCGGCTGATATGTGTACATTTATTAAGAAATCTAGTAAACAATATTTGCAAAATCTGGTTCAGATAACACGCCACCACTTCATAAGTTACATTTGAATAAAAGCATTAAAATTAGCAATTATTATCTAAAGTACCTCAATGATGATTTTATTTTTGTCTGTCTGTATACCCTAGGTTTTGTTGGCTCATGAACCTAAATGCAACCATCATCTTTCTGGGAATATCTTGCATCCAGCACTTGGGGGCCTGGGCCTTTGTTTTACTTATTCCTTTTATGTCTACGCTTATGGCTCTGATAACTCTTCATATGATGTACTGTAACCTGATTTATCAGCCAGAAAAATGTGAGTAAATTATACTTTACATTAATTTTTTGGTTGTTATTGTTTTTCTTGACCTGTCTCCTTCCTCTTACATCCCCTATAACTTCCCTTTCTACTCACAGAATTTGGAGATTCTGCCCATTATTACCCTTGATAGCAACAGAGTCTATAAGAATACCCATATTCTCTACCTTCTTTTATTTTTCCCTTGTTGAAAAATTTTTAGCAGTGAAATATTTCAAACATAAACAAACCTCACCTATGTAGCTTTTGGCTTCAACAATTATCAATTCATCTTCACTTACTTTTTTTCCATCCTATCCTGGTAATTTTGAAGCAAAAACTAAATATTATTGCATTTCATTAGCATATTTAGTTATATGTATATTTATAAATATATATTTTAATATATATTATGTGAGTTTATGTATACATAAAAATATCTTTTGAAAAACATAATCACAATGTCATTGTCACTCACACGTGCTTGCAAAGGAAGAGAATTTCTTAACACCATTAAATATCTGATCATTGTTAAAAATCTCCCTGATTATTTTCATTTTTTGTTTATCTTGTTTTATTTTATAGTTTGTTCCAATCAAATCCAAATAAAGCTTATATATATATTCCAAATACTTGATATGTCCCTTAAGCCCAGTGGTCCCCAACCTTTTTGGCACCAGGCACCAGTTTCATGGAAGACAATTTTTCCAAGGGTGGGAAGAGGCAGGCAGAGATCAAGTGGTGATGCCAGCCATGGGGAGCGGCTGTAAATACAGACGATGCTTTACTCGCTTGCCTGCAGTTCACCTCCAACTGTGCCTCGCCTTTCCTAGGTTTCATGGAAGCATGGAAGACAATTTTTCCATGGGTGGTGGAGGGGTGGGCAGCAGAGCTCTGTGGCCCAGTCCCTAATAGGCCACAGACTGGTACTGGTCCACAGTCAGGGGTTGGGGACCACAGCCTTAAGCCATATATATTCCTCATGCCTCTCTAGCTCTCTCTGTTTAATTTATCATTTTTTTAAAAAAAATCTGAACATTTTATAGAGCATTTAACACAGTCTGGATTTTCCTGATTGTATTCACATGGTACCATAGAACAAAGTTTTCCCTTCTATATTTTAATAGACCTAGGTACTTGATCAGATTCAGACTTTTTTGTTGTTGTTGTTGGCAAAATTTCTACATAGATGGCATTCTGTACTTCAATCAAGAGGCACAGTGCCTTTGCTTTGCAGTGTTAGCATCCACTGATGATTTTTGCCTAAATCCACTACTCTGCTGGACGTTGCAAGGTGTTGATAGTCTATATTTCTTGATCTTTTATTAGCTGAAATAATTCTATAAAGAGAAGTAACTCCTTGTCAAATATTTAGAGGTATAGCTTAGGTAAGAAAAAGAAGATAAATATTTTCCCCTCTATCTACACATTTTTAAATTAGTGAGTTGACACTTCAACATCCTGCAAAAGTGACCTACTAGGTGACTATTATTTATTATGAATTCATGGACTTAAACATTTTGACATGTTTCAATCTACTACAGTTAGTAATGGTCAAATTTTTCCATATTTGGTCAGTGAGGTCCTGTTTCTGATGATGCCTGGGTCATTTTAACAAGCTTCTTGCTGTCTTTACTTCCTTGATTTTTTTTTTTTTATGGATCATTCTTCCATTTCTTTAATAAGGGGAAATATCAAAATATGTGTGTACATATATGTATGTATATTTTCCTCCCTTATGATATAAGCAGTAACATATTATTCACACTTTTCTCACCTATATTTTTCATTTAATATTACCCTGGTATTACTTTATAATTGTAAATAAAAAATATCCTCATTCCTTTTTATAGCTGTATAGTACTCCATTGTGCGATGAACCATCTTGTATTTTACTAGTCCTATAAGGATAGACATTTGGGGTGTTTCTCTACATTTACTGTGTTAAGTAGGTTCTAAAAAATAGACTGGTGCACACCTCTCTTAGCATTTTCTTTTTTTTTTTTTTACCAGTATATCTTTAGGATAGATTCCCAGAAGTAGGATTGCTAAATCAAAAAGTAAGTCCATATATAATTTTGTTATATCTTACCAGATGTCTTTCCAATTTTAGTTATGTTAAGGCTTCTCTCTTTTTTTCTCAATCTAGATAAGGGTTTGTCAATTTTGTTGGTCTTTTCAAAAAGCCAACACTTGGATTCATTGAGTTACCACTATTTTGTGTTTCTACAAAAAAATATATGAAAATGCCTGTTTCCTCACAGTCTCTCCAACAAAGTATTGTCAAACTTTGGGATTTTTGCCAAATGGTATCTCACTGTAGTTTTATTTTATATTTCTCTTATTTTGAGAAAAGTTGAGCATCTTTTCATTGCTTTAGACTAATTTGTATTTCTCCTTTCTATTGCTTTTCTATTCTCTGTTTTATCTCTGCTCTAATCTTTATTATTTCCTTTCTTCTTCTGACTTTGGGTTTAATATGGTCTTCTTTCTCTAGTTCTTGCGGTATAAGGTTATGTTATTAATTCAAGATCTTGTGATTTCTTCTTTGACTGATTGTTAAAAGTAGGTTATTTTGTGTTCTCTTTCTTGCCAATTATTAGAAGACCTTTCTATTTGGGGGATATTAGCCATTTGTTTACAATATAAGTTGTAAATATTATCCCTCATTTATCATATACCTTTTTAATTTATTTCTTGTGTTATTTCTATGCATAAGTTTTTTTACATTTGTTTGTTTATTTTGTCCTTTGTTGGGGTTTATGTTTATAATAAAATTTATCAATCTTCTCCCTATTGCTTCTAGATTTTGAGTTATTGTGGAAAAAATTTTACTCACTTTCAGATTATAAAAGAATTCATTCACAGTTTCCTTTTGTAATCATATTATTTCCTTTTTTCTCTACATCTCTGACCCACTTAGAAATTAAAATAATAGATTTTTAAAATAAACCCATTTGTATCTTTTTTTCCACACTCCTATCCAGTTATCCCAACCTCACTTATCAAAAAGTCCATGTTTTCCTACTGATTTGATGCCATCTTTATTTTATGCTTTCACTTGCAATTCCGGAGTTTCTGTTTTGTTCCATTGGTCTGTCTCTCTGTTCATGTTGCTTAACTTTGATTTTAATTTCTAACACATTTTCCTTTTCCGACTTCTCCTATCTCTACTAGTTATCATACAACTACTACCAATAACAATGCAATGAGTTGTATTTTTAAAAATTAAGCACTTTCACCAATGTTACTTTATTTCTTCCACATACCTGTAAAGTAGACAGGAAGGGCACCCTTGTATTCTTTTGCAGACTAGACTTCATAAACTTTCCCTCTGCTTCTGCAGCACCTGAGTGTCTCTTTACCACTAGATTTACCACATATGTTGAAATTACTAATATCTATTTATGAATACAATTAGAAATTCCTCTGTCTTATAAAAACTTGGAATATGATAAATGCTCAGTGTTTATTGTTGTTAAACTAAGTGTAGAAACTGAGACATAATTCAATTAAACAACTTGCCCAAGAACTCACAGAACATAACTGAAGTGGAGCAAGAACCCAAGCCTTATTTTTTTTTTTCAGTCTGGAGTTCATTCTACTACACCACATACTGAGGTGGTGAAGCACTGAAAATACCATCCACAGAAGTTCCTGCCCCTGTTTCTCAGAACTCTGTGGTCTGCGGGTCACAGCTTAGCAGTACCTGTCCGCCTGGTCATTTATACAACGGGGGCAATATGCAAAAAGGTGTCTCTGTCGGTCCCAAATAGCAACAAAGAGGAAAATGCAGAGTATATGCTTTTTGTTGAAAAATCGCTTTGGCATTTTCTAGAGTGTCTAATTATCAAATAATGTTGGGTTTTTGTGAATACACACAAATACACACATATGTGTGTATATATATACATATTATTGTTAGATTCAAATTTTCTAAATAACTACTCAGCATCCATGCATCTGCTTCCCAATCTCCTATTTGAAAATATATTCATCTGAATAAAGAAATACAATTCTTTTTCAAGTGATACGGATCTATATAACCAACTCTGTTTACTGCCATCCTATTGTAGTCTACAGAGTACATTTTTAATGTATGATAAGGTAACCCTTTTGGGGACATTAACAAGACAAAACTTTATCAGCTACCAGTATAATTAGCATAGAAAATGTTCGCCAGTGGCTTACTTTACACAAGGCTCTGTAAAATGAATATTTGGAGGTTGTTTTTTGTTTTGTTTGTTTTCTTTACTATTTCTCAGTTATAAGATCACCCAGCTATGATGAAGTAAAACTCTTTCTTCCCTCTAGCAAAGTATATAATCCTTATTTTGGCTCCTTCTTCTCTGATGACTAAATTGGAAATTTCTCAAAGCTGTAATTCAAAAAGCCATAGGTGACCTTAAAGAAATGATTTTTTATATGCTACCTTTTATTTTAAGGTAACTTTTCAAATGTGGACCATGCATTCCATTATGTTTAGCTGTCAAGCATGGCCTTCATTTGCATTTCTTCCCACTGCTATAATTTTGAGAACTGGCAGGTGACCAAAGAAGAAAAAATGTGCATCTCCCATCTAGAGTGCAATGTAGGCTTTTTTTTTTATTATAATTAAGTAGCATAGATATTCATGATTAGATCAAGGTCAGAAGAGTAGAACATCAGAGCCAAGGACTTAAAGGTACAAAGAATAGGAAAATTGCTTTCTGAAAGATTTTTTTAAGTCGTAATAACTACAATATTTAAGTTTTACAATAAAACATTTAAAATAGCTCATCTGTTTTATTTTAAAATGTGCACGCCTGGCGTGTTTGCTATGAACGTTTAAACCAGAGCTTGAAGTCTCAGTTGAATTTTTCATTTCAGTTTTTTTTTTTTCAACTTCCCATTTCTGCTCCTCGTGCAGAAAAGCAATTCAAGAATTATAATGATAATGGATTTTTTTTAAGACTGAGGCTACATGATACTCAAAAGTATTTGTATAGAAAATATGAGTTTTCTATTAAAGTCTAATGGATTAATCCAAGGAGGTTTTGTGATGTTTAGATGTAGATGTTTTCAACAGAATATCCATCCTAACATTCAGTGATAATAGCTATGGTTTCATGGGGTGACTGCCACTCCACTTGTGTAGACGGATTACTGTAGAGTTTCTTTTCTGGCATTCTGTAACTGGCTTATTGGCTCCCTCTCAGTCCAGCAGATCACTTTAGGTTTATTACTTCCCCACTTTCCTTTTCTTATAATTTACGTAGCATATCATTACCTCTTCTCAGTCTCCTTGACTAACCTTTCTCTTATGATAATTTCCAAACCGATGTGGAACCCTAGGATTTATTCCAGGGACCATGAATCTTCTCTGCCCACCCTCTTTCCTTAAGTAATCTCTAGTCCAGTGGCTATTAGAGCCATCTATACACCAAATACTCAGTTTCATTTAGGGCTTTCTCCTCGCCTTGAAAAGCATATGTTCTACTCCCTATTTGGCATTTTGACTTGGTTATCTAATAATTTCTCAAACTTAACTTGACCAACACTCAACTCCTGATTCACCCAACTGCAAACAAGCTCCTTTCTTGTTTTCTCCCTCTTAATGTAAGTCACCACACTCAGTTGTTTAAGGGAGAAAAAAGGACTCATCTTCAGATGAGTCCATGTTCTCATCTCTTCCATGTTCTCATCTCTTCACCCTCTTCTCACATAGGAAAATTTTATTTATTGTTCAGAAACACATCCCATTCTGTTCACCTCTCTTTGTTGCTGCTACTATTCTAGTCCAAGTCATCACTACCTCCACCAATACCGCCTCTATTGTCCTCTAAAATTCATTATCCACACAGCTACCAGGGTTCCAGAGTAACTTTAAAAATATATACATCATATGATATCTCTACTCTGTTAAAACTATTTAATGGTTTCCTGTAATACTGAAGGTAAATGTCAGGTTCCTTGCCTGGGCCTGGGTAGTCTGACCCCAGGCTACATCTTGGACCTCCACTCTTCTCGGTCTTCTCACTAACTGAGCTACTGTCTCATTGACCTTTATGCTTTCTGAGCCATTCCCAGCTCATTTGTACCTTGTGATATGTCTGGCATATGTTTCTTCTAGTTCTTTTTGCCTACTTCCAGTCCTTTAATCCTCAATTCATATGTCAACTTTTTAGGAGCTCTCCTCTATACTCAACTCCACGATGGGTCCCTATCACATCAGCACATTGTGTTTTCATGGTAGGACCTGCCTAATATTTTCCTGCTTGTAATGCCTCCTCCACAACAAAGAAGACTCAGGAGTTTGCAGGTCTTGTTCACTGCTATATTCCCAAGGGTAAAGCAGTCCCTGGCTCATGGTAAATACTCAATAGATATGTTGAATGAATTAATGATTACATTCACATTTCTCTGGCATTAATTATGTGTGCTTGCTATACTAGCTAGAGTTTTAGACCTCATTCACACCATATCCTTTCTCGTTTCTTAATCATTTTGCTTTTGTTGCTTCATGTGTATCATTATATCAGATACAATTTTATTTGTTTAAATAAATTCATTTTTCAAAGTGTATATTCAGTTGAAGCCAGTCCTACTCAAAGCCTGGTCCATGGAGCAGGGGTAATCTTTGTTACTGGTATGCAGCAATAGAAATACAAACACCGAGACAAAACATATAAGAATATTTACGGAAAGTTGCATTTTGTGTCTGTTGAATCTAATAACAAAAACATCAGGGCTTATATTCCATATGTCTCTATTTTATTTTATGTTTAGGTATTTGATTTTTATTGTATTTCATAAATGTATTGACCATGATAGTCGAGAAATTTTTTAAAAACTGAGTTTTTAATAGTTTGAGAATACTAATCTAAGCTACTTCTCTTTGGAAATAAGATAATAGCAATATTTAACTATTTAATAACATTAAAGGCATCAATTTATCATGCCTTAGAATCAGATCTAAATTTGTCTTGCAACAGATAGCGATTTCTTTATACAAATAAAGGAATAGTGAGTATAAAATACATTGTATTCAGTGCAAGTTCCTAAATTCAAAAATTCGGGGAAAATGTCTTTAGAAATAGTCTTTCATCCTGAAAGTAGTTATCATTTAATAGTAAAGCCTATTTGAAAGCATAGAGTAATTTGGATTGATATTCATGGTAACCCTACTATCTACATAGCGCCTTTTGCAAAAGTTGAGCAGAGAACAGGTTGATGAGTAAGAGAGACAAGATTGTAAGGAAATGTCAGGAAGTTAAGCCTCCTAGCCCAGGCCTGTTCAAATCCAGTCTCTAGACTCTTCATCAACACATTCTCAGTTCTCATCTTACTTAAACCTTAAGTAAACTCGTTGAAATAGCTAGAAAAGTCTCGTGATAGAGCAGTTCCTTCTGTAATAATAAAGAGCTATCCCTATTACTTCATTCCTAAGAGACACAAATCTTGGCCTGTCACAGGTCCTACTGTCTTCCTGGCCTTATAAGTCCCTGGGCCTTCATCTGGGTCTGGCAGTAGTAACTAAGAAGAGGCAACAGTGATTAGAGCTACAAGCCTATCTCCTGTCAGCAAATATCCCAACACACTTCCACATGACCTAAACACACTTCACAAAGGCCACCAAAGAGCCACATCTATAATCATTCTTGGTCACTAACAATTTGGGCTGGATTTGATTCAGTGACTTAGAGGTTAAAGGCTCCATATTCAATTACCAGGCCCCCAGCTTCCCCAATTAATCAAAGGCTGACATAATGGGTCTATTACAACTCTTAAAGAAAAGACCAGATCAAATCAATATAACCATAAAAAGAAATGTTAATAAATAGTCTTTATTTAAACATGAAAACCAATACCCTACAGCATCTCCGTGAATTTGGTTAGAATGCATTTAGACTAGAATCTTATTTTAGGAAATTTGAACACAATCAAAATGACAATCAAGCTACACTTTGTGTTTCTACAGCAGCCTTCATTGGAGAAACTCAAACATTTTCACATTTATGATAGCATTTATCCTTCAACAATAGTTTGGTGTCTATGTAATTTGTGGAGGGATTTATCTAGTCAAAGGGAATGCTATGAAAAATTGTAACAATCATGATGGCGCAGCTGAACTGCTACCTAAACAGGGGTCTCTTATCTGTCATTGTATCAGGAAGTCCTAATGGACTCAAAGAAAAGGTAGAATCTGAAAGGTCATAAAAGAAGCAACAATGAGATAGCAAATCACCAGCAGTAAGTGACTGCTAACATCTGAAGCAATAAAATGCTTCTGATGCTAAAAGCGACATCCATATAAACCCAGAGAAAACTACTGGAAAAGTCAAAAGCTAACTAATCCAATCTGAACTTTTAGTGACACTATCAACATGCATAAAGTCATTTAAAGAGTTCAAAGTTTAACCTTATGTCTGAAATTCAAGGATAAAGTCAAAGCAGAGAATACATTTCCCTTCATCTCCATGTCAAAATAAGAAACCACCCTCTACCTGCCAGGTAAAATGAGTGTTATTTATATAACAATTTATATTAAAAAATAGTACTAGTTCTTTGTGTTAAGGACAGAAAAGAAAGTTCAGGTTATCTTATTCAGTAATGAGTTAAAGTCAGAGACTTCTGAGAGATTCTGAAATCCCTTACTTTGGTGTTTTATTGTCACCTTTCTTCTCTCTTTTAAACATGTTCCCACTGAGGTTACTTTTTGCAATTTTTACATCAGCTGTCTGGGGCTACCCTGGGCTGGTCCTCAGGATGCCAGAATCTTTGTCAGAAGCTTGTTCTTTTGAATTCACCCCCTTGGATACTAAAACCCTCTCAGTCACTGCACTGCCCTGCACGCTCACAATTGTCATCTTTCTGAATGGCATTTGGGAAAACTGGGAGGACAATTCCTATACTAACACATAATATCTTCAATTATTTGCAGGTTGCTCCCTCCTGACAACCATTGGGGTGTTTTTTAATGCACTGAAAACAGGCTGCCTGCAATACTGCCATCTCGGCAGAGATGCGACCAGCTGGTTAGACCATGCCAAAGAAAAGCATGGTGGCTGCTATAGTGAGTCCCACGTGGAAGACACAAAATTTTTCTTCACCCTTCTCCCTCTCTTCGTTTTTCAGCTCCTATACAGAATGTGCATTATGCAGGTAAGGATGGGTGATGAATGCTACCCCAACAACATTAAGGTGATTGCATGCTGACGGTACAAGGAAACACGGATGTCCACTCCAACAAGCACATTCCGTATACTTCATCAGGCAGTTATCCTACAAAAATCAGAGCTTCTAATCATTACAAGTTCTGATTTCAGGAGCTAAGCAGGGTCAGGTGGAGGCATACCTGAGGAGCCACTGGGCACATGTTTCTTTTGTGGAATGATAAATGTCTGTCAGTAGGCGCAGACAATCAGAGTGCGTGGTCATAAGACGCAACAGCAGTGACTGAAAATATCAGATCTATAGGCTATTACCAAACCTCTGTTTAGCCAAAGCTTTTTACTCATTAAACTTGTAAAAAGTGGTATTAACAAGGAGCTAAATTGACTGATTTGAGTACCACCTTCACTGCACTGTTAAGTGTAAGTACTAATGAGCAAGTGATTCTCTCCCCACCCACTCTATTAATTCCTAGGGGAATCAGTCCCTATGTGAGGAAATCAAGGGGAAACAATAAGTCCAGGCAGGGCGAGGTGGCTCACGCCTGTAATCCTAGCACTCTGAGAGGCCGAGGCTGGCGGATTGCTCGAGGTCAGAAGTTCGAAACCAGCCTGAGCAAGAGTGAGACCCCGTCTCTACTATAAATAGAAAGAAATTAATTGGCCAACTAATATATATAGAAAAAATTAGCCGGGCATGGTGGAGCATGCCTGTAGTCCCAGCTACTCGGGAGGCTGAGGCATGAGGATTGCTTGAGCCCAGGAGTTTGAGGTTGCTGTGAGCTAGGCTGACGCCATGGCACTCACTCTAGCCTGGGCAACAAAGCAAGACTCTGTCTCAAAAAACAAAAACAAACAAACAAACAAAAAAAACCACTAAGTCCAAAGTATTTTTTATAGATATCTGTGATTTTAAAGAAATGTTAATGTGGTTGTTGTTAAAGAGTAACATATTTATAGAGAAAAATAAATGATTATAAAAATCTTTGAACAAAGTTGGGACTTTGTTCATTGCTAACCCCTAGTTTGCAATTTAGAAGGCTAATGAATGGGTTATATTCATAAATCATAGGACAACAGAGCTGTAAAGAAATTTAGAGGTTAGCTTATTCAACTACTTCATCTTAGGCTCAAAAGAATTAAGTGATTTTTAGAGGGAAGCGTCAGTGGGTCATGGCAGTAGGTCACAGTTCATAGTAGTGCAAGGAAAAGCAGAATCTCCCCTCCATCTCTCAGGGCAGCTCCTGTTCCTCCAAGCCAGGGGTTAGCAAGCCGCTGCCTGCAGCCAAATGCAGTCCATTGCCTATTTTTGCACTTCCTGCAAGCTAAGAAGGTTTTTACATTTTTATGTGGTCAAAAAAAAATAAAAAGAAAAATAGTATCTTATGGCACATGAAAATTATATGAAATTTAAATTTCAGTGTCCATAAACGAAGTTTTAATAGAACATAGCCATGCTCATCAGTTTGTCATATCTATGTCTGCTTAGCACGAAAATAGGGGAATTGAGTCATTGCCACAGAACCCCTATGTGGACATCTTTACTATCTGGCCCTTTATAGAAAAGTTCACCACCCCGTAGTCTAAATAATACATGAAAGCTATTCTAATTTAAGAAAGTCAACTTCCCTCCTGACTCTACAATAGTAGCAGCAAAACACTGAACACAACAGAAGTATTACCCATATATGTGAGCATTAATATCATAAAATGTCTTAGAACGGAGAAATTAATAACGAGTACAAAATTACTAAGTGGTCCACAGTTGGCCTCAAAACCTTCTGCGCAAATTGGCACAAATGACCTAGTCCTTCTCTTCATAATGCAATGACACCTGATATTGCGTTCCACTAACTTTGAGCTTTCTCTGGAAACTGACATATATTTTAAAATTTGACACAAATTACAATGAATTTTGATAGTCTAATTTTTATGCATCTTGCCAAATCTAGATGCCCAGTTTATTTGTATAAAGAACAAAAATTAATACTTAACTGATCACCTATTGTGTGTCACACACCTACTGTGTGTGCTTTTAAGAGATGGCTTCACAGTATGTAATTTATCCCCATAGCAAGCCTGGATCACTGATATTACTATCCTAAATCTGGGGCTCAGAGACATTAAGTAACTTGCAACCTGCTCCCAGTCATCCTGCTAGTCTGTGACAGAGTGATCATCCCAACTCAGGGCTGGTATCAAGGCACATGCTTTGTTATGACCCACATACCTCTCTTGCACTTGGTTAAAAACTCCTGATACAGACCATATAGATTCCAAAATTATACACAGTAATATTGTGCTAGAAACCTCCAAGAAAATGGTTAGACTGTACTTCTCCAGGGAGGCAGAGGAAACTTCCAGAGGGATAGACTGAGATTAGATTTTTGTCCCCAGATGAAATAATCACCAGTACAAAGGCGATCAAAGTACCAAGAATAAAACATCATAGAATTCCATATTTTAAATTTAGTAGCCATTATCGACCTTCACTTCCAAGACATACACTTAAAATATGTTGATATTAAGGCTGATGAGGTTGCCATTTGACATTACTGGCCACTCAAAGGTGAAAATGAATCTCTATTGACGGCAATTATTTCTAAATATTCAGAGGCTTGTATGAAATAAAAGTATTTAAAATTTTAAAAGGGGATGATTTCAGAACTTGAGGCAGAAGCAGAAATGATTTCAAGCTTTCAAGACACTGGAGGCTTTTCTTAGATTAGGCAATATATTAATATTGCCTACTAAAGATTAATAGTACATTTGCCACATTATTAAGTTAACAGATTTCTGTGTCTGTGATTCATGCCGATAATAACTTTATTCCTATTAACAATAATTCTCATTTGAAATCAGTAACAGAAACTTCCAAGTTGTGCTGGGAGCCTTTCAGTCTTCGAGTTGTTCCGCTGCCAGCACTTTTTGTTAAAACACATCACTCATTTTCCTCTGATTGGGGGATACGAGCTTAATAATTTTCCTGAAGTAGGGCAGAACTAGCTAATGTCCCCTTCACCTTTGCCATCTGTACCCAACCAAAACAGTCCTTGTTTACTGCTCTAAGGGTCAAATTCAAGATAAATGATCACTAGGACATGTTTTATATAGATGTAAAGAATTGCAATGCAAATGTGGTCCTTTCCCGTGTTTGGGCAGTTAACACAGCAATAGGCTCATTTTACGACTGGTGGATCCTTAACAGCTGTCCTGACTCTATGACTCTGATTCTTCTTATACCCTCTGAAATTGTATAATTGAGTATAGAGAAGGAGTCAGTGAAGGATTCAAATGAGAAGTTATCATCTGATGCTTGAGCAGGGTTGCTGTCCCTGGGTGATGGTGAGGCAGGAATCCTAATGCAGTTCTTGCACTGTGAGAGAAATGGTTTGGAGAATCCCTTCCTCAAGGAGAAGACTTGGTTGACTTTCCCTCCACATCAGCCACTAGCTTTGGGTGTCGCTGAGAATTAAAGAAATACCATATGCTACGAATGCTCATGATGAAGATGTAATGATTAGTAATAAAGGTCATGACCTAGAAGAGAACCATGCCTTGTTTCCGATATCATAACCTACCAGGAGGCTTGGAATACATGAAGGGGCTCCAAGATAGTGTTAGGATTTTAGTTAGTATTGGGGTTATTTTAAAAAATTAAGAAATTCTAACAGTATATTGAGAGTTTGGGGCAGAGAACAGGATTTTTTTTAAAAAATTTATCTTTTATTTTATCATGCAAACCATTTTCATGTAGTTCCCTTTGTGGAACACTTGTATAACACAGTTAGTTTAAAAGGAAGGCACAGACACAGGAAGGTTTTCTTTCTTTTTTCCTCATGTTACTTGGTTCACATTAGAAACAAGGCCTATCGAGGTAGCCCACAAAGACAGCCTATAACAAGTACTGTGTATCCACACTGGGCCCTCTTCTTAAGAAAAAAAAAATTATTATTATCTATTTTGCCACCAAACTATCTATTTAAAGAATTTATTCTAGCTCCAACTTTTTTTAATCAGGGTAAAAACAGATGTCGTTAATACTTCATCCTGGTTTTGCATTAATGTTCAAGAAGAAAAGTCATTTTGCTTATGTGTAGAACTTAAGTTATTTGATTTCTGGTGCATCATCCTGAGCATAAAATTAGGAACACTATTCCTTTCCATAGAAAAATTAAGAGAGACTAAATGGCCAAAGAGTCTTCCATAAAGAATAAGTAGTATTGTCAATAGACTAAATAGCTCCTACTGCCTCAGATGAAGACCCTTTATCAGGTCATAATTGGGGCCTTGGGAAGCTGGGGAACATCAAACTCATCTATCAGAGAGTTGGTGCAAGGAGGAAGGCATCGGGCCAGGATGCTTTCTTCAAAGTTAAACCACTGTCTTAATGCATGGCTGCTTTCCCTTCGAATACAGATTCCTTCAGGATATTACCTGCAGACCATGAATTCCAACCTGAATTTGGATGGATTTCTTCTGCCAATTGCAGTAATGAGTGCCATCAGCATCCTACCATTACTAATTCTGGCTCCTTTCATGGAGTATTTCAGCACCTGCCTATTTCCCTCTAAGAGAGATGGACCACTTCTGTTGGCATGCATTAGTAAGTACAACTTACCATTTTGAGTGAATTGTTCACAACTTAAAAAAAAAAAAAAAAAAAAGAAACAAAACACTCTGCTAAGATCTAAACTAGCTCTATGCTCCTGAGTAGTGTCAGATTTTGACAAATTGGAAAAAAAGGTGATATTGTGAATGATAACATCCAGCTTCCCAAATCTCTACCCAGAGATCAGTGTCCAGTCTTCTTCCCTTCCTTTCATGCCTCCGCAGAACACACATCTAATATAAAGAGATGGCGAAATTCCCAGCACCACCAAATAGCCTATCCTTCTGCAAGTGAGGCCATCCTTGCTCCCAAGTCAATGTTAAATATCTTCTTAAAAATAAATACAGGTAATGAACCCCCCAAAATAATTTTAATTTCTGAACCGGTAGTAAAATGTATTCAAAATTAGTATTCTGATTCACAGCTTCAATATGGTGGTACCTTTTCAAATATATAGCACTAATGATTTTCGAACATTTCTTAAAACGAAAAGATTTAGGATTATCTTATTCAGAACACAATAAATAGGTCATAAAATGAAATTTCTCTGATTAAAATGGGAGAGAAGGAACTGAAAATCCACTCTGATCGCGCCTGTATTCCTGCAGACACCCTCAGGAACAAGCGAACAAGTGTAGGAAAATAAGTCTCAATCTAAGAATGAGAGATCTTGGTCTTAGCCCCTGCTCTGCCACTGAAATGCTCCTTGGTGACTTTGGACAAGGCACCTAACCTTTTTTCTCTTTAGTTTGCTTATTTTTTTCAATACCCTAGATACATCTTGGGTCCCTTTGTTCTACAAAAGTTTTGAAATTACTCAGGATGAGATCAGTGCCCAGAACATAATCCTGACACATAATGAAAGCTCTGTAAATGTTGGCTATTATTATGAGTTAAGTAGCAAGGAACATGACTAATTGTTCTGTGAGCATAACAGAAAATACAGGGAGTTTGAAACTCCTAGGAGATATCATGCAATGGTAACCTAATGTCTTATGCTCTACTTGAGAAATAATTCCATTGAAATAGTCAAGATTCTTTTCTCTTGTATAACCTGTTCTTATTCTTAACCTCTCCTTTTGGAATATCTATAGAGACCATACAGTCCTCTAGTCACACTTTTTGCTGCTTCTGTGTTTATAGAAGTTACATTTTGGTGTGTGTGCTTCCGGTTATTTATCAAAGCCACAAGATCACTCCACATCACACCGTGGGATGGGTTTGTTTTTGATTAGAACTAAAAGTGACTAAACTCATGGTAGGTTCTTTTTTTTATAATGTTCAATTATAAAGACCTTTAGTTCATAACATTTTTTGATTTATGTTGTAAGCCAGTAACCCCATCTTTATTTATTGTAATAGGCTTTAGCAAACTATAAATCTTAATAACTTTTAACAATCACTAAATTTTAAAAATTGCCCTTTTTTTGTCTGCCACTGTAGAAATCCAAAAACCAGTAAGTATTTAGTGAAATGCTCAGCATTATCTTGGACATTTTAAAGATACAAAAGGAAAGTAAGATATTATATGTATATACCCTCAGCAAATACACAACTGAAACAGAATGAATGCAGGACAAAATGGGGGTAAATTTATATTGCAAAATGTCAAAAATCTTGGCAATCTTATATAGTATCATGAAACATCCCCATCTGGGTTTCCAAATCAAGTTTATTCAAGTTTATTCAAGTTTAATCAAGTTTAACCAAGTTTATTCAAGTTTATTCAAGTTTATTTACTACAAATGTAAAAATCTGGGCTACTTCAAGAAAATATACTACACAACATGGCTTAAAGAATCACATTAGAAAGCCTTGCTGAGAATAAGAAACCTTAAAATTCACTTTCAATATGAGCAACTTTCTCTTGGACAATTCTCCACTCCTGCATATTTGAAATAATGTCTAGTCGTAAAGAAGAATATTTTCTTTCTGGATAGAGAAAAGTTAGATAGAGTTATCTAGTATATTGTTTGATGTTGTTAATGAATTAAATATTCTCCTTCAAGATTGGTAACAAGACCTGTTGCACAAGAAAAAAGAAAAACTAGACTCACTTCAAAAGAAACTAAGCTATATGTTCCACTGGGTACAGAATACTGAATTCAGTTGTTTCTGAATCAGACTCCATTCATTCATTCATTTGCATAGTTGTTCATTTATTTGCATAATATTTTGCTATGGGAATACAAAAGTGTGATGGTACGCATCTTTTATGCCAGATATTTACTTAAGTTTTCCACATTCTGATTATGATTATGGAAGATTAACAAGTTTTATCAAGACATAAAAGTAGAAACCTAGGGTAATTTTTGATATTAATTCACATAATTGAATTTGTCTAATATTAAAATTTCCTTTCACTTTGAACTCAAATGCCTGAAAATGTGGGTAAAGTATATAAGTATATGAATTATGAATGAACATACATTATGAGTTCCTAATTTGAACTTTGGTGCCTTTATATACATATTACATTTAACCACCTGATAAACCATATTTAATAGACCAAGATAATAAGTGTCACAAAGATAGTGTCATTTAAATTCAAATCTTCTGATTCTAAGGAAATTAAATTATTATTATTGTTATTATTATTCTACTTATCAGCTATACATAGCTGTTAAAGAGTTATTAATAAATTATCAGTGTTACCTTGGAATCCTCACTGCTATTTCCAATTAGCACTATGAAGGAAATGAAATTATTACTTCATTTCATTATTTCAACAATAATAATTTCTCCAAGAGGCCAGGGACTGTCATGTTAAAGGAGTCAGATGGTGATGACCATGCTAATATGTGACATGCAAAATCATAACCCAGACCGAGAGTGAGATATGGGGAAATCTCACCCAGTTGGTCAAACTAGAAATTTAATAAGAAAAAAATAACTTATTTTCTTTATCTAGTTCATAAGCAGTGCAATGAAAGAAGGGTTTCTAGTTCAAGATATGACATTCCTGAGTTCATTGCCTAATGCAATCAAGAAGTATATCAGGAAATCAACCATAAAAAAAAGTCTATAAAACTTCCAGGGCTGTGAAAGGCAAATACTTGAGATGCTCAATAGTTATCACGACTGTATTTTGTTAATATTACATTTGAGAGGATTTATCTATTCAAAAGTCAACCTTAATTCACTAAAAATCTAGAGCTAGTGATATTGTAATTTATCTTCTGTCATAATTGGGCATACTTCATTTTCATTTTAGCTTTTTCAGTTCAAAAGTGTTTACACCATGAGTGTTTCTTTTTCTTAGCATTAATTAAGATCCTGCAGTATGTGGCATTCAATAGTTAGTGCTGACACACACAAGTATTAATCTGACTAAAATTAGCCTAATTAAGATTGTTACTAAGTCTTACACAAAGCAGAAGTGTACAACACAGTAGGTAGCAATTATCTTGGCTTTTAAATAACATTTACATTGAAATGCAGACGAAGTAAATTCAAATATCTGCAAGACCTTCCTCTTTAAAACAAAAACCTGAAAATTGAAATGCTTATGAAAAGTTTTTTTTTTATGATACAGGTATGGCCAAAGTGTTGGTCCCTTTATACATAACTGGTGACTTCTACTAGTTCTAATAATTGGTAGACATATAAAGTTCTCTCTTTCTTTTTGGTTCAAACCAAAGTGGTCAATAAATTAAAAATAGAATCAGGGATCCAGTCTCTTTTATTGAAAGTAGGAGTATATCAGGCAAAATTTCTTTTTTCTGTGTGGTTTTCAAATATAAATTTTCCCATAAAAAAAAAAAAAACTGTACACCCATCACAAAGTACTTGATAGGAGAAACTGTGTAAATTCCAAGAGAAGTAACTTTTAAATATCTAGCCTGAATAAGTCACTCATTCAGTTGCTCATTTATTTGACAAAAGTACATTACTGTTCTTTATTCTTAAAGTTAACATCAAATTGAAATTAAATTTAAGGTGAAGTAGATCATCTAATATACCATCTGAAGCAATAATTGATGCCTTATAGACATGCATTTGTGGATCTGATCTCTATGTAAATGAGTTACCTGTTCTATATTCAGAAATTAAAGCACAAACTAAAGCTGAACCTCCCGAAATGAGTTTCAATGGTGTAAAGAGAAACAAAAGATAAAAGACGGATAGCTCACATCAAATATAGCAACATACTGCTAACAGAAGAAACGATAAAAATAAAAAATATATGTCATTCTAATAGTGAGTGAAAAATATCTTTACCAATGGCAGAGGATATACCTGGCAATAAAATTATATGCCTGTGAGAGTGGTTCATAGACACCAGTATGTTCTCACATGAGCAAATTTCTTATTCTGGGAATTCGCCAAAATCATGGATCGATCCATGGGGAATTTCTCAAGGACTTGGTAGAATTTTATATGTCTCATTGCAAGCTTACATATGAGAGAGTCATACATCTTACTACCTATAGAAACCTTATAGTTTTGTCAGTGAATAAATTTAGCCAATGCCTAAAGAATCTGAACACATGCATTTTTTAAGCATTAGATTTTGCTTCAATATAAATAGAAAGTACAACCTTAGTATTTGAATAAATTCTGACTGTATTTCATTGTGGTCTAATTTGGAAAATTATTACATGGTAGGATAATAGAATAAACTGTAAGAGCTTCAAGATGATTATAGACTTGTCTGCAGCCACACAACAACCATTAAAACATACATTATTTATCTGAATATAACATCTCCTTTGGAACCATCGTGCTTTATCTTATAAATACAGATCTGCTAGAGGTTTAAAATGTGTGCATTCTGATAAACTACACTCTGCTTTAGGTGTGTTATGATCTCAAACAAGTTAAGAATTAAAAGTGGAGTGGATTCAATTTAGGTTGGAATCAAACTTTGCTTTGAATCTTAAAAAGCCATTTTTCATTGACACCAAAGTGCAGTAGCAAATAAAAAGTGAACATAGTTATCTAGATCCTTCAGGTAAAATATGCTTTGCCTGAAAATATCTGGGTAAATGCAT